CTGTTCAAGCTCCGAAGCCCCTCGACAGTGCACGGCGCACCGGACCGCGACGTCGGTCGAGCACAGCAATCCACAAGCACGCGCCATCACCGCGCCGACGACCGCAGCCCGCCCAAGGCCATGAAAGCGCGGGGCGGAAGACTGCAGGCCAAAATGGCCGCCTGCGCCCTCGACCCAGACCTTTGCCTGAAGGGCGCCCGCGAGAGGCGCGTCCGAGAGCTCGACGCCCATCATCTTCAGCCCTCGGAGCGTCGCCGCCTGGTCGAAGAACTTCGCCCCCAGGTCCGCCGGGCTTGACTTCCCGGGACCCTTGGCCAGCTGAAACCGGCCGTCCTTCAACGCCTTCTGCACCCACAGCGCCGGCGTCTCGACGTGTCGGACTTTGCCGCAGCCCCATCGTTGCATGATGCCGAGAGCCGCTGCCGAATCTCCCCAGATGCGAAAGCTCGCTTCTCTGCCCAGGCCCTGGCACAGTGACTGCACGCCGATGGCCCTGCTGGCTGCTCGCACGCAGCCCGAGCTCAGGGAGATGGGGATCTGAGTCGTCGGGGCCGCCACGATCAGGTGCTGTCCGTGCTTGATCACGACCGAACTGGTACTCCTCCGCGTGACCGGGCAGCCTGCCCAGTCGGTATCCGAGTAGATGCCCATCACCGTCGGTGTCCGCTGACGGCCCCACCTCCAGATGGCGCGCGGCGCCCCGATCAAGAAGCGCCCAGCGCGCTTCAGGAGAGGTGTCGCTCCGTCGGATTCTGCATGCCGCGAGCGCACTCCTTGGCCGTGAACTGCACCTCCGGCCGGTCGAGCGCCAAGTAGCCCAGCCTCATGCACGCGCCGCGGTACTCCGCTGCATCGTGGTCATTCAGCTCGCGCTCGACCTCAGGTGTCAGATTCTGGCTCACCCCTGGCGTGCTTCGCGACTTCGTGTGGGGGTCCATCCCGAGCTGTGCGTGCAGGATCTGCGCGTGCCTGGGATCCGCCGCGTACTCGATGGCCTCGCCCCCTTGGCTCCATCGGTCTCGCAAGCGCACTACCCTGTTGAGGCACGTGATCTCCTTCGCGTCGGTAGGCGCCGGACCGAGCACGCCCCTGTCTTTCACGATGAACTTCGTCTTCAGCGCCTCGCAGATCGACTCGGTCCCGCCCCGAGAGCCCTCGAGCACGAAGTCATCGCCGCGGTGGAAGAAGCTCACCTGCAGGCCCTTGCGGCAGTACACGCAAGGGGAGAAGGCCGACTGGCCACAGCCAGCGCCGACGACAGCGTCGGCGGTCGCGAGCTCGAAGTTCTGGTCAGCGCCGCGCGTCCCGTAAAGCGCCATCCGCAAGAGCCCATGCGCACCGACCTCCTGCGACATCGGGTCCTCCTCTGGGAGCTTGGTGCAGTCCGCCCCCTTGATCTCGCAGCGCGGGTGTGCCCGCGAGATGCCCAGGCAGCGCGGCACGCGACCCTCGGACGGGTCGCTCGACATCACCATGCTGCAGATGAACCGAAGGCACTCCAGTGGCGGGGTCGCCGCGAACACAGCGCCGATGTCGTCCCCTGCGATGGTGCTCTGCGCCTTGGTCTCCTGTGCGACGATCCTGGATCTGTAGCCCTGCCGGTCGGCGTCGCCCTTGTCGATGTCGACCCAGCGCACACTGAGAGGCTTGCGCCCAAGCTCGCGCTGGCAGTCCTCGTCCTTCGCGTAGACCCACACGCCGAGCTGCGCCAGGAAGTCCCATCTCCAGGCGCCTCGCTGCCCTCACCAGCGCGGGGTCCAGCGGTAGGCCGGTGAGGTCATCATAGAACTCGGTCCTCAAGGTGTCGCGCCACCTCCCGACTTCGGGCTGAACTCCTCGTCGTCCACGTTTGGCCCAGCATCCAGGGCCGAAAGCGCGAGCACCTTCTTGTTCCCGAGGTGCCTGCGGAGACCACGAAGGGTGGCACGGAAGAGCTTCACCGGATACCTCTCCGCCACGCGCATGTTCCTGCCGACGAAGGGGGAGTGCTCGTGCTCGTTGCCAATGCCGGTGTCATTGGGGCAGCGCTTGCAGACCTCCTCCAACACCTCCTTGTTGTTGCTCATCCACCCTGTCGGCTTCTTGGCGAGCCTGTCGCCGTGCGCGTCCGCGACCGCCAGGCCGAACACGCACTGGTCGCCCCGCCAGACCTCGACGCCAGGGAGGGCCATCACGACCTTCACCATGTCCAGGCCCCAGCTGTCCGCGCTCCACGGGTGCTCGTGCAAGAACGTGCGGTCGCTCTTCACCTGTAGCGTGTAGAGCTCCATCATTAACCTCAAATGCTCGCACCCGATGGCGTAGGCCTCACGCTGCTTCTCGGTGTCCTCGTTCAGGAACTTCAGCATGGAGAACGGCGCGCAGCGAGGGCTGCCCAGGATGAAGTACACTTCGTAGTGCTCGATCAGTTCCCGGCACCGACGCTGCTGCTGGCGGTCGGTCAGGCCCCAGCCGACCCTCAAGTCGAACGAGCCACCATGGACCAGACCGGAGAGCGGGGCGAAGCCCACAAGCCTATTCGGGCAGAACACCTCCATCACGTCGGCCTTGCGCCAGCTGTAGTCGAGGGAGAGCAGGAGGGCACCAATATCCTCCTGCATGTTGTCGTCGCCCAGGTCATGAGGTGCCAGAGCCATCGCCGCGCCGGCCGCCACTGCGGCCTCAGGTGCTGGCTGCACCTGCTGTGCTGGAGCTGGCCCGCCACTGCCTTGCGCGCCGCCCTCTTGGCAAACCGGCCCGGCGACGTCAGCACGATGGCGCTTCTGCTCGCGGGCATCCTCGAGCCTCTGCTTCGCCTCATCATCGCCCTGCATCGCCTGCTCGATCCGAGCGCGGCACTCTGCCGAGTGGGCCGGCGCCCGGGCGCCGCCGAGGGTCGCGGCACAGCCGCAGCAGCCCGGGGTGATCCCGTACTTCGCGATCTCGACTTCCTTCCTGATGTAGACTGCCCGCGGCCCTGCCGAGGGCCGCCCGGCTCGGGGAGCCCGAGGCGGGAGGTCCTCAGCCTCAGGGATTGGCGCCAGAGGGCCGCCGGCAGGCGCGACCGGCGCCGGCACCGGCGCTCGGATCTCGATGGCCACCAGTACTTCGTCAACCGCCACGTCCGTCGGCAAAGGCGCCCACGGCTCCCCCACGAGGCTGTTCAGCAGGTCCTTGTCGGCCCGCTGGTCGCTCGTCAACCGCTCGAAGGCACTGGCTCGCAATACGCCCAACTCCGTGCCAATGTAGACCTCGTCCGTCCGAAGCGTGGGCCCCAGGTAGAGCCCAGCGAGGAACGCGCCCTCGATCCCGGCCTTGTGCTTGCCCGCCGGGAGGTAAAGGACCTTCTCCGAGAAGCAAGCCAGGTCCTTGTTGAAGGGGCGGCCGCGCCGAAGCTCCCAAGATGTCCGGCCGCCCGCGCCCCGCCTGCCCAGGTTGATGGACATAGCCGCGAACTCGACCATCCACGGGGTCACCGGGTGCTCGACGCCAATGCTCACGCCGGGGTGGTCGCCCACCTGCGCCCGCACCGCCCTGACCTTGGCCTTGACCTCGCGCACCGCGTGCTCGGCGAGGCCGTTGCCCTGGGAGTCGCCGACCGCGTTCTCCTCGGGAACCGCCGACGCCGTGCTCCTCCTTGACCTTGGCCCCGATGCGGGTCTTCAAGGCGACGAGCGGCGCCTCGCCGTCCGAGCGGAAGACGAAGCGCTTTTTACCTAACAGCGAAGACTGATAGTCTTCTAGTAGGGTCAAACGAAAGCATCTTGACGCCCCAAGGGGGTCTGGGCGGGATCCGAACAAAACCGGACAAAACCGGCAGCCCCAGGAATCCTTAGGAATCCTTCGGGGTTCTTAGGAATCCTTACGAACCCATTCCCAGAACACCATTCCCAGGCCGCATTTTGAATGCCCGGAGCCAACTGTAAGCCTTTTCGTGTTCTTCGCGTTCCCAGAGCACCACTCCCAGGCCACATTTTGAATGCCCGGAGCCAACTATAGGCCACTTCGTGTTCTTCGTGTTCCCAGAACACCATTCCCAGGCCACGCTTTGAATGCCCCGAGCCAACTGTAGGCCACTTCGTGTTCTTCGTGTTCCCAGAACACCATTCCCAGGCCACATGTTGAATGCCCGGAGCCAACTGTAGGCCACTTCGTGTTCTTCGTGTTCCCAGAACACCACTCCCAGGCTACATGTTGATTGCCCGGAGCCAACTGCGAGGCTAAGGCTGAAGCAGGCTGAGGCTGAGGCAGGCTGAGACTGAGCCTGAGGCAGGCTGAGGCTGAGGCTGAGGCTGATGCAGGCCGAGGCTGAGAGGCTGACGCTGAGGCCGAGGCAGGCTGAGGCTGAGGCTGAGGCTGAGGCTGAGGCTGAGGCTGAGGCTGAGGCTGAGGCCGAGGCAGGCTGAGGCTGAGGCTGAGGCAAGCGGAGGCAGGCTGAGGCTGAGGCTGAAGCTGAGGCAGGCTGAGGCTGAGGCTGTGGCTGAGGCTGGGTCAAGCTGCGGCTGAGGCAGGCTGAGGCTGAGGCTGATGCAGGCTGAGGCTGAGGCAGGCTGAGGCTGAGGCCGAGGCAGGCTGAGGCTGAGGCTGAAGCTGAGGCAGGCTGAGGCTGAGGCTGAGGCTGAGGCCGAGGCAGGCTGAGGCTGAAGCTGAAGCTGAGGCAGGCTGAGGCTGAGGCTGAGGCTGTGGCTGAGGGTGAGGCTGAGGCAAGCTGCGTCTGAGGCTGAGGCTGAGGCTGAGGCAGGCTGAGGCTGAGGCTGATGCAGGCTGAGGCTGCGAGGCTGACGCTGAGGCTGAGGCAGGCTGAGGCTGAGGCTGAGGCCGAGGCAGGCTGAGGCTGAGGCTGAGGCAAGCCGAGGCAGGCTGAGGCTGAGGCTGAAGCTGAGGCAGGCTGAGGCTGAGGCTGAGGCTGTGGCTGAGGCTGAGGCAGGCTGAGGCTGAGGCAGGCTGAGGCTGAGGCCGAGGCAGGCTGAGGCTGAGGGTGAGGCCGAAGCAGGCTGAGGCCGATGCCGAGGCAAGCCGAGGCAGGCTGAGGCTGCGACTGCGAGAACAGCAGAATTCTACAACTGGATTCTAACCTGAATGTTAAGGGGAATGCTTCCAGATATGCTTCTACACATCGCTGATATTTGCCGGGGTAATTTTTTGGCGGCGAAAGGAGAGGGCGCGACGATGAACCTGCCGATGCTCTCGTCTGCACGGTCAGCGCGGGGCACAGGACAGGAGCCTTGAGCGAAACGAGCTCACAGCACCGGCGGAGCACGTGGATTACCCTACACTATTAACGCCCAGCGCTGGGAAGCACATCCGGAAGAACCGCGCCCGACACGGTTTCCGCCAGCGGGTCTGCGGCACGCCACCACCGAGGTGGAAATGAGCATATTAACGTGAACCCGGCGAAGACTAGAGGAGCGGAGGAGGAGGAAAGGAGAAAAGCTCATGAGTGCGTAGACCAGCTGAGGCTTCGCCCAGGGCGCGCGAACATGCGCCACACGAGCGGGGGGGGAGCGGACGCCAGAGACAACGCAAGGAGAGGGCACTAGCTACAAATGAAATACAATGCGACATGATGGAGCCATGGCGGCCACCGCAAAGCCGGTCCGAGACCTACCGCGCAGGGGCGGAGCGCGGCTGAGGGAGCACGCCGCTGGGGCAGGCAGTCAAACAACAAACAAAGAGTAAAGACAGGCCAAAGAGAGGCGAAGAGCGCCGACTGCCATAAGAGCTCCACGCCTGCCCCAAGCCTAAGAGGAGCAACAAAGACGCCTAACAGGGCACAACGCAGCACTGCATTTCGCCACAATGCCCAAAAGCCTGCACCTGAACCGGGAGGGGAGGGGCGAGGAGGCGACAACAGAGTGGCGGAGAGGCACGGGCGCCCAACAAAACGCCGAGAGAGCCCTCAGGACGTGCCAAGCTCGACAAATCCAGCGTTGGACGCATCGATCCTCGCAGAGTACGCCTCCACGCCTGCCACGACTCCAACCTCCATCCTCCAGCGCCTCGTCGTTATCCTGGTGTAGGCGTTGGTGCTGGCGTCGGTGCTGGCGTAGGCGTTGGCGTCGGTGCTGGCATAGGCGATGATAACGGTGCTGGAGTAGGTGCTGGCGTTGGCCCCAGCGCAGGCGTCGTCAGATGGCCGGCGTCGGCGCAGGAAACGGTGCTGGCGCTGGCGCTGGCGCAGGCGCAGGCGTTCCAGATTGCGCCCCCCGCGTTGGCGCAGGCGTCGGTGCTGACGTCGGCGCTGACGCAGGCGCTGGCGCCAGTGCAGGCGTCGTGAGTCCAAGCGCTGATGCTGGCGAGGGTGCTGGTGTAGGAGCTGGCGAGTGTGCCGGGGTCGGGCCGGGGCCGGCGCCGGCGTCTGCGCTGGCGTAGGCGCTGGAGGTGGTGGCGGCTGGAGGTTGGTAGGTGGAGGTGGGGGTGGGCAGACAGAATGAAGTGGGCGCGGGGAGGGGCGGTGGGGCCCGTCCAGCGCCCTTGTCTTGGTCAGCCTTGTTCTCGCGGCCCTGCTGGATTACTGAATCCTCTGGTGCGTTGCCGTCAGGTGGCCGGCGTTGGTGCTGGAGTCCACGGCGACGTCGGCGCCGATGTAGGCGCTGGCGTCGGCGCAGGCTTCGCATGTCCGAGTGCTGATGCTGGCGAGGGTGCCGGCGTAGCAGCTGGCGAGTGTGCCAGGGCAGGGCCAAGGCCGGCGTCGGCGCCACGCGCGTGTCAGAAACAAAGATGCCGCCATACAGTGCACCAGTATACGTGCCCATTTTCGCCACTGCTTAAGCGAACAAGGAGCCCGGGGGGGCATGTTGCCAACCTCTTCTCGGGCCGCTGCGGGCAGATTGGTGCCGACAGAATGCGCTAGCCAATCGGTAGAGTCGAAACTGTGAAATAAATTCCCCTGTCACGCAATCAGTAAGGTAGCTCCCGCTCATATTGCCGATCCGCTCTGTTTGGGTGCAACTGCCCATCCTAGCACTAGAGTTCGCGGCTCTGCTAAATTAATGAGTCCTCTTGTGCGTCGTCGTCAGATGGTCGGTTTTGGTGCTGGAGTCGGAGATGACGTCGGCGCTGCTGCAGGCGCCGGCGTCGGTGCAAGCGGCATAAATCCAAGCGCCGATGCTGGCCAGCCTCCTGGACCATGACTTCGCCGGCCACAGGTGTTGCGCCCCCTTGGACGGAACCATCGACGCGTGGAACCAGCGCTGCTTCGAGTCCTTGCCGATCAGCAGCGGCGCGGCGCCCTCCTGGTCGCCGAGGTAGCCGTAGTCGATGCCAACCACCGCGAGCGCCGACTCCTGGCGGCCCCTCGTCCGACGGCCTGCCGACAGGCCCCGGCCAGAGACGCGCTCCCGGCACCATGCCCTGCAGGGCTCGCGCAGCACCTCACGCGCGGCTCGCTCGGCCGCCGTCGGCGCCGCGGGCTCCCATCGCCGGCTGCGCCGGCGGGCCCTCCGCGACCTCCTCGCGAGCGGGACCTGGCTGGCCGGCCTCACCCCCAGGAGGCTCGGGGCCTGCCACCTCGACCAGGCATTCCCCCGGCATGCACGGGTCGACGTGCATGTCTATCTCGTAGACCTTGCTCCCGCGGCAGAACTTGACAACGTCTCCACTGGTCTTGCGGCACGCGTAGCTAATGTCCTGGCCGCCCTCCGAGTCGAAGACGAGCCGATGGCCAGAGTCGACCATCTCCGCGACGCTCAGCAACGGCTTGCTGACGTCCGCCACCCTGAACTTGGCAGCGCGTGCCTAGGAGGCCCCAGGCATCGCCCCCACGAGGTGCTTCGCGCCCTCGTCGCTCACGTAGTGGCCGGAGGCTGTCTTGCACGAGATCGCCCGGCCACCCTCACGCACTGGGTAGTCCGCACACGAGCCGAGTGGCAGCACCGAGGCCGCCGCACACGAGTCGATGCCCACACGCAAGATGCCGTTGAGCTCGACCTCCTCCGCATCCGAGTTGCCGTGGATCATGTCCAGGCCAAGGGCCGCGCCGATCGCAGAGTCGACCGCGTCCGCCTTGTCCGGCCCCGGGTCGTTGATGATGAGAGAGTGGAGGTTCGCGAACGGGCAGCTGGCCTGCTCGTCCGCGTCGTTCAGGTAGAGCGCTGCGACCTGCCACGAACTCGCGCCGGACATTGCCGTCGCCAGGCTGAGCCTCGCAGTCGCAGCCGTGGACATGAAGCTGGTCGTCGACGGCGCGGTCGTGCCCATCGGCTGAGAGGCGTTGATGCGAGCCAGCGTCTGCTCCATGCTCGCCAACGCCCCCCTGTTCTTGCTTGGGCATTCGCGCTGGGTGCGGCCGCGACCGCCGCAGCCCCAGCAGAGGGGCCCAAGCTGCTGGCCATGGGCCTTGCTGCCGGAATTGCCCTTGCCGTCGGACTTAGACTCGCCCTTGCTGTCGCCTTTGCTCTTACCCTTGCCACCGGCCTGGCTCCTGCCCTTGCCGTCGCCCTTGGACTTATTACCCTTGCCGGCACCCCTGGTGAACGCACTCAGATCCATGGGCACAGGCACAGGGGCGATGGATCTCTGGGCACGGCGGATGCCGGTGACCTCGCGTCGGAATTCATGCCACTCCACCAGCCTGGTCGCATTGAGCAAGAGATGCTGACGTAGAGGGCCTTCCTCGAGCTGCCGAGGGACGATGCCGATCCTCATGGAGGCTGAGATAGCCTCGCCGCTCCTCTGCTCATACCTGAGGAGTTCCCGCTCGAACAGCGCTAGCCTGTCCTCGACATCGCTTGTGAACGCGAAGTTCACGAGATTCAGCAGCTGCCCTGCGTTGCGGGACCTCGCATTCGGTTCGTAGTATTCGACCAGCTTGCGACACGCCTGGAAGCCCTCGTTCTCGCCAGCATTGAAGATCGTCGTCAGAGGGTGCTGCCCGCAGAGCAGGAGCAAGATGTAATACAACTGCTGCGAGGCCTGCCTCATGTTGTCCTTTATGAAGTCATCGACCTGGACCGAGGCCTCGTCAGCGCTCTCTGCCAGCCGCATCCCTGCTAGCAAGTCGGCGTTCACAACTCCACATTACGCCTTGAAGATCACCTTCCAATCACTCCACTTGTGCTCCTCGCCCGTGAACACGTCTGGCGTGCCCAGCGTACGTGTGTCCACGAGCGACTCTGGTCGAGGCTGCTGCACAGGTACCTCCACCCGTGGTCGACCTTCGGCCGCACGGCCGAGCCGCTGCACCTCGGCCGTGAGATCGTTCTCCCTCTGCTGGCGGTTCTGCAGTTCCTGCGACATCGCCAGCACCTGCTGCTCGAGAGCGCGCATGCGCTCCTCCGCCATCTCAGCGGCGGTTCGCTCGCAGCTTCGTGAAATCCTTCAGGTGTTGGCCCAACGCCGCCCAGAGCCTCCTGAGACGGAAAAGCGTGCGCAGCGATCTGGCGACGCTCCTCCAGCCACTGTGGACCTCGAGAAACTCCAACTCGTCGCCGCCGCCGCCGCCGGGCACTGCCGGCCCTGATGCGGCTCCCGCGCTGGCGGGCCGTCCCGGGCTGCCGGGGTTCCCCGCGCCGCCGGCGGGAGCGGGAGCCACGGAGCCCGACCCCGAAGACTGGAAGGGCCAGGACCACGGCTCCGCTACCATGGCGAGATCTTTTCTTCGGATGCTTGCCTTGATGAGTTGAGCCCGAACGTCAACGTTCAGACTCCCTTGAAGTAAACCTTGCGGGGGTCTCTGGATTCCTGCACCCCTGCCTCGCGCGCGAGCCTCCACGAGCTCTTCAGCCTTACCCGGGCACCCCTGGAGTCGCCCACATGATTTGGGGATCCACCTCGACTTACCAAAACTGACTTCCACGAAAAAAAAAAAAGCAATTAAAAGCGCTCCGTGCGAATTTCTTGGATCTGCGCTGGACCACCCTCCCTGGCGCGTGGAGCGCGCCAGGGCGGCGCCCGAGGCGCCGCTGGGGGGGCCCAGCGCGGATCCAAGAAATCCGCGCGGAATGCCAATTCTTTTGTGTATGGCGTTATTTCTTCTTCGAGGCTTACCCGGATTGCCTTCCACTGAACTCGTTTTGGTGCAGGTGGATACCCGCAAGCCGACTGGAGAAGAGCCGTCCGGGTACTTGGATCTACCTCGACGTGTCTGGACTTACTTCGATGTATACCTCAACGTCTGCAGGCTGATCTCACAAGTTGATTGGAGAAGAATCACCAGATGTTCCCACAGGTCCGACGTGTTGTTTTTCAATACGGGGTTCCTGGAAGTGTTGACATATTCCCCGGGACCGACTTTTCGTCCTGGGTCAATTCTTTTCACGGTCCCCAGGCCCAGCGAGCGCCTTTCGAGGCCGAAAACAACGAAAAACCTCCGCATTGATTTTTTCAACACGTTGGATCTCTGGGCTCAGGGAGTCTCCGAGCAGCGGCAGTCGGGGCGGCTGGCGCGCCGGCGTCCCACTTGTCCGAACCTCTCCCGCCGCCGCTCCAGTCGCTCCAGCTGTCCTACAAGCGCGCGAAGGGCGGGGCGGGCCCCGAGCGAGGCCAGGAGGAGGAACGGGGAGGCAGAGAAGGAAGGAGAGAGCAGACGGAAGAGGAGGAGAAACGCAGGACGGGGAGGAAGAGGAGGAGGAGGAGGAGGAGAAGGAGGAGCAGGAGAAGGAGGAGGAGGAGGAGGAGAAGGAGGAGGAGGAAGAGGGGGAGGAGGAGGGGGAGGGAGGAGGAGGAGCAGCAGCAGGAGGAGGAGGAGGAGGAGAGGCAAAGGGAGGGGGGGTACGGTCATCTTCCTCCTTATCCTCCTCCACCTCCTCCTCCTACTCATCATCAACAGCAGCAGCGACAGCAGCAGCAGCAGCATCAGCATCAGCATCAGAAGCATCACCGAAATCATCATCACCATCAGCGTCACCATGCTCATCATCACCACCACCACAACCATAATCCCCATCATCATCATCATCATCATCATCATCATCATCATCATCATCATCATCAGCAGCATTAACATCATCATCATCATCAACATCATCAACATCATCATCAGCATCATCAGCATCATCATCATCATCACCATCATCATCATCATCAGCAGCATCAGCATCAGCATTAATATCATCAGCAGCAGCAGCATGAGCACCATCAACATCATCAGCAGCAGCATCATCAGCATCAGCATCAATATCATCAGCAGCAGCAGCATCAGCATCAGCACCATCATCATCATCATCATCATCATCATCAACATCATCATAATCATCATCAGCATCATCGTCATCATTATCAGCATCATCACAATCATGAACATCGTCGTCGCCCTCTCTTCGTCATCTGAATTGATTGTCTTCAGTGGTATGAACGTGAGGCTCAGCAGCACCAGCATCACCACCATCATCAGCACCACCACAGCCACCATCATCATCGTCATCATCACCATCATCATCATCGTCGTCGTCGTGATCGTCATAGTCAACATTATGATCATCGTCATCATCCTGATTATCGTAATCATCATCATCATCATCATCAACATCATCATCATCGTCATCATCATCAGCATCAGCATCACCATCACCATCACCATCATAATCATAATCATCACCGTCAACATCATCATCATCATCATCATCATCATCATCACCATCATCATCATCACCACAATCGTCATCATAATCGTCCGCATCATCGTGATCATCGTCATCATCGCCAGCAGCATCATCGCCATCATCATCACCATCATCATCAGCATCAGCATCATCATCATCATCATCATCATCATCATCAGCATCATCATCATCATCATCATAAGCATCATCAGATCATCATCATTAGTATCGTCATTGTCCTCAGCATCCGCAGCAAAATAACCATGGTCGGCATCCTCATCTTCACAATCCTCGTCATCATCACCAGCACGGACATCAGCCCCATACTCATCATCCGCATCACAATCATCATTAGCATCATGATCCGCATCATCATCATCATCATCAGCATCATCATCATCATCATCATCATCACCATCAGCATCATCATCATCACCATCATCATCATCATCATCATCATCATCATCATCATCATCATCATCATCATCATCATCATCATCATCATCATTATTAGCATCATCATCATCATCATCATCATCATCACCTGAATGAAAGGCATCAGCATCGTCGTCGTCAGTATCATCATCAGCATCATTACCAGCATCACCACCACAAGCATCATCAGAATCATGAGCAGCAGCAGCATCATCATCATCATCATCATCATCATCATAATCATCATCATCATCGTCATCATCATCACTCTCGTCAGCATCGTTGGCAGCAGCAACATCATCAGCAGCAGCATCATCAGAAGCAGAAGAATCATCAGAATCGTCATCAGCATCATTATGTCCATCACCATCACCATCACCATCACCATCACCATCAGCAGCATCGTCATCATCATCATCATCATCATCATCATCAGCATCATCATCATTATCAGCATCATCATCAGTATCATCATCATCATCATCATCATCATCATCATCATCATCATCATCGTCATCATCCTCATCCTCATCTTCATCCTCATCG